TACGCGGAAAGGCGGAGCAAATAAACTTCGCAAAACCACATTTCCAAGCGTTTGAACTTTCCGCGAAGAGGGCGTTTGATTTCCCCGAGGTGTTTGACCAAGTAGGAAGCCAACTCCGACCACTTAGAAAATTGGAACATCCTGCAATCCACCCACAGTATTTCGTGTACTCAGTTGCAGCGCCTTCGTTTTTATTATTATTATTTCAGCTCGTTTTTTCGCGAAGACGTCCGGCCGGGCTCTCAAGATTGGATCGATGGGCCGGCAGCTAATCTTCAAAGACGCTGAAATTTGATCTCTACCGCATGGTTTGCTTTTCGGTGTAATGATGGGGGTTGCGCTGCGCCGACCTACCACCAGGGCCCGTTTGCTCGAAGCCGGTTAACCCTTTGCCTACCGCAAGAATTTTGAAAAAACGATTTGAAAATACCGATTCTTATTATGTGCCCCATAAATTTAATATGTAATACAAGGCCATAAACGATTGCCAAAAATTTATTATAGGAGAGATCTTTGAACACGCAGCAAAAGAAAAGGGGACTAAAGTTCGGCTTCACTGCATTACCGCAGACAGTTAACATCACCTTGCACGCAAAGTGAACGGAAAACGTGGAGGGGCAGGAAGGGGATTTTTTTACGTCGATTCTAGTCCAATGCCAACACGCCGACACGATGTCCTCATCGAGATAGAAGTCGTCTGAGCTAAAATCCAATAACTCAGTTGCATCGCTCTTGCTGTCCGATGAAAGATTCATTTTCTCGTCTTCCGAATCTGAAGAGACGTCACAATATCTTCGTCTTTGCCCCAAGTTTGATGTAAGATCGTCACTACAAACGGAGCGACCGGAAGATGTTGCCGCCATGTTTAAATCCCCTGCGGCCTGCGTTGGAAGACTTTTCCGCCAAATTCCGAAAGTTACCATGTTTTTATTTTCCTTGTGGCGCCATCTATCCACGGCAAAGCTAACTATAAACACGTGGACTAGCCCAGTTTGTCCATGGTAGCGTATTGGAGCCCGAATCAACGTGGACGAACCCAGCTCGTCTTCGGGAGGAGCGGTACAAACAGTGTGGACGAATCCAGGTTGTCCATGGTAGGGAAAGGGTTAAAGCAACACCACCTAGACAGAAGGGCTCCGCATAGTTTCCTCTTCTTCTATGAAACGTCATCACAGTCGGATCGCGCTCGGTCGACAATTGGACCCGAGCCCGACCTTCGACGCGCTGATTGGCCACGAGCCGCAGCCGAACACTGACGCAGCACTCGTGCTCAATCTCTCGCCTCGATCGATCTGACTATGATGACGCGTGTGGAGGCCTTCTGTCTAGGTGGTGTTGGTTAAAGGCTGAACTCCATGAAGCGAATTATGTGACGTATAACTGACGAACGCCGCCCGACGGCACGCTCGCTTTGCGCGTGACATAGCAGCCACTACGGTGATTCCACGCGCGGAGCAAAGGCCGTCGGGCACATTGATACTTTAGACCCATGTTGTTGTAAAAAAAACTATCTCCAAACTCTGGTCTAAAAACATGCTTTTCGTGCAAGGCTCGTCAAATTATGAGGCGCTGGAGAAATGCAGCCTTCTGCGTTAAGTCCTTATTTCGAACTCTTTTTGTTCGCCTTCCGCCCATTGAAAAGCATGCGGGAAGGGCCTTAGAACGCACCTGGTATCGCTGCGCCGCAGCGTTCTTCCGCATCAAAAAGTTCGTCTGCTTTCCTCGCCGTCACCATGGCAACGAACGCCGAATGAATAGAAGCACGCACGGTACCGCCGCGTGAAGCTAGCAACAGCTGACGCCATTTTTACGAATGCCGTCTGCTAGCCAAAGCCGAACGCGGTGTGTCAGATCAACCGCCTCCGCCGGTGCGCCGCAAGCAAAGACGACGAAGCTGAGACACGCCGACGGCGATCGAGCAAGCAACAACACCGCGGGACGACTGCAACGGCGGCATTTATTCGGATCAAAGGCCGCCTTCGCCGGTGCGCCGCTAGCAAAGACGACGAAGCTGAGCCACGCCGACGACGAATGGGCGAGCAACAGCACTGCGGGACGACTACAACTGCGGCATTTATTGGGTTCAAAGGCGCGAAATAAGCAAGAACAATTTTTATTTGAATCATAACACGCGATATCCAAGTTGGGGACCACATACCTTTGCTGGGTCTTTACTGTGAACTTTTTACAGAGACACGGGGTGCCGCATTCAAAACACAGCTCCGTTTGCAAAATATGGGGGCCCTGGAAAGGACCGTTGAGACCGCTACCAGAACCTATAACTGACGTAACGAGCACTTGACGAGCGGTTGGCGCATAAGTCGTCTTTACGCATGCAGGCGGGTGACGGGCTCAGCGCAGCGGATCCCTCGAAGTCACCGGGGCCGTCAGAATCCTCGGCCTGTCTGCGTCGGGGCTCTAGATTTTGGCGGCCGCGGCGACGAACGACTGGAATCTATCAGTGTTTCCGCGCGCCTTCTCTCTCCTCCAAAACATGAACTTTGCAAGGTGACCAGTGAAATGGTGGCTCTCGCGCCGTCCAGGTGGAAGAGAGTTTTTGACGTGGGCCCAGGTGCCCTCCACCGTATTGGTGTGCGCACCAGTGTTCGGGTCGACAAAGTGCAGCTTGTGGTTAACGGTGAGGTGCGTGAAGCGAGCGTCATCTGCAAGCTTGCGATAGCCAGCCCAACAATCTGTGATTATTCTTGTTCCAGGGCGGACCCACTTGGCTATTAGCCCTTGCAGGGTTTTAGCGTCACGGGTCTCCACGGGAACAAAAAAGCAGCACCCGCTGCAACGCGCCACATCGCCGAAAACCCACTGGCCAGGCCTTAAATACCCGCGATGGTACTTGTGCCGACCGATCATACTCTCGTCTAGTTCTACAGTCACGCCTTCGCCACCAATCATGTCTGAATGCTTAAAGACGGCATTTACCACAACCTCCCGACAAAGGCTCGTCCAATCAGTTATTGTCTTACTTGCGACATCAGTCTCCCGCTGAATGACGGCGCACGGTAGGTTCTGGCACCAGAGGTAGATGATCTTCATGAGTTGGGGAAGCGTCAGGTGCGATCCCTCGAAAAAGGAACCGCTCCGTACCGAGACCTCGCCCCGGCACTGAACCTTGACCGGCTTCCTCTTGGGCACCTCACGAGTCATCCACAAACCGCATCTCCACGAATACCCATCCGCAGATCTAGCGCGGACTTGCAGCGTCATCGCAGCTTCGCACTCTGGGCAAGCACGAGAAGCCAGGAGCAGGCCCATGCCCTGAAGCAAATTAATTGCTTCAAGAGGGTCTTTCATGGCGTCATGAAGACGGCACAAGTTAAACGCCATGGCACTGCGACGCTCGCCTCTGGAAGAATAAAGCGCCAAGGGGGCTAAACGAGCAGAAATGCGCGCTTCTTTGCATTTATTATTTTTATTTGATCCGCCATTTTATACCTCGTGACACCCTTTTAACGAACTGATTGGCTAATCGGTCGGGCCATGTCATCGCGTGACGAAAGAAACGCCAATCGTATGACCAGAACGGTTGCCACGGTCGGCATCGTTACAAAGAAGAGAACAGTCGGACCCAACAACAAAATAAAGTAACAAAAAGAATTAAAAAAAAAAAGAAAAAAAAAGAAGGGAGCCGTTTTCGGGCGGCGTGTTCTTTGATGAAAGGTGTTGCTCGCAATGGTTACTTGTTTTTCTTTTTTGTTTCTTTACCCTAGAGAATGCCACGTCCCAAACAAACCGTTGAAACGAAGGAGGGAGGGAGTCTTGGCGTCAGAATTCTTGAAAAGAGCCTCATGACGCCGCCGACGACCGTTAGGCTATTTATTTTGTTTCTTTAGACTTTTATCGCGACCACTACTCCACCGTGCCTCAGATTTTCCAGCGAAGGTCCGGCAGTTTTTAATAATTATTAGTATTGTCGTTTGAAGGGCACTCTTTTTATGCTGCTTCGTTTTCGTTCCTGACGCCATAAAAATATGGGCGGAAAAAGTTTGCCCTACGTAAAACAAAAAAAAAAAACAAAAAAAAGTTTAGTTCAAGGTCGGATTGGTTTGTGGATGCAATTAGTCCAATAATTAATTAGCCCAATTATTTATTTTTGTTATTTGCATCTTTTGTGTGCATGCGTGAAATGCAGCACCCAACGATATGACATGAGAAGAACGCTGCAAGTGCTGGACCGTAGACCATTTAATGTCACCAAAATCCTGGGCCGGAGAACACTTGGAGGTATTAGTGTATCGTTTTGAAAGCGCTACAAAAACACGTCGGGGACACTGAACTTCTGGACCAACTTTGAGTGCGTGAGCGTGTGATGTGTGTGTATGGCATTCTTTATTTTTAGACTGTAGGCGCGAAAAATCCACACGGACTAGGGTCTGAGTAATGCAGAGTCTAGGCCAACATCTAGGTGCTGTTACTCATTCCCTAGTCAGTGTGGATTTTTCGCGCCTATAATCTAAAAGAGAAAGAATATTTTTATGGCGTCAGGAACGAAAACGAAGCAGCATAAAAAGAGTGCCCTTCAAACGACAATACTAATAATTATTAAAAACTGCCGGACCTTCGCTGGAAAATCTGAGGCACGGTGGAGTAGTGGTCGCGATAAAAGTCTAAAGAAACAAAATAAATAGCCTAACGGTCGTCGGCGGCGTCATGAGGCTCTTTTCAAGAATTCTGACGCCAAGACTCCCTCCCTCCTTCGTTTCAACGGTTTGTTTGGGACGTGGCATTCTCTAGGGTAAAGAAACAAAAAAGAAAAACAAGTAACCATTGGGCGCGTTCAGTAGAGGCCCCGGAGTCAAGGAGTCACTGACTCCTTCCACTAGACGGCCAAAAGTCACTTCCGGTGCACGTAACTCCGGGGCTTCGGAGTCAAGCTCCGAAGCACCGAGTCCGGAGACGGTGCACGTAGAGTCAAAGGAGCTAAAGATGGCGTCATTTCCTGACTGGTGACGATTTCCGGGGAATTCGGCGGGAATATCCAGAAAAGGTTTCGAATTCTCCCGTGCGTCTGCTGCCATGGCTGCATCGATGACATCCACTGCGTCCGAAAGCCCCGTTTATCTGGTTGAAAGCGACGACGGTAAGGGACAACTCATGCGCTAACGTTCCGTCTCACCTCCTTATGTTTCATTTCGTGTTGAAAATAAGAACCTCTCCGTATATGTCGTTTTTTTCTTACAGGACGCTGCACTACTCCTCTCTATATTAGTATCGGTGAGTACCTCCATATTTCGCTGATCGCACTTTTGCATTTGAAATTGACATCGCTCATTTAAATTGTCGGCGAAAATTAGTTGTCGGTGAGTGTGAGCGTTGCGCGACAAACGCGAGCCATCGCCGATCGGCATTTTTCACTCACTTTATACTGCAGCCCAATTCCGCTTGCGCACGGCCGCTGCATTTCTATCGATATTTTGGTAGAGCTCAGCTAGATACTTCCACCGCTCAAGCGCTATTGTTGCTGTGGGCCTTCCTTGTATCGAAGTGCGAGCCACTTCCCCTTGCACTAACAAACAATCATTTGATCATGCTTCTTGTTTTGATCACATCTTCATAAACTTCGCTAGCGTGCACATTCTGTCGTGTGAATATGCATTGCAGTGTGTTACGTAAAAGTGCTGTAATGCAACTGCTTTCCCTTGTTGACAACTTCGCAATTTTTTTTTGTTTATAGTCAGTGGTCATCAGGAGTTGGACCCGCAGCCATGTAGCAGCAGGGAGTGCGACGGTATGAATCTCACATATAGCTTGGGTTCTGAAGGGAATTTCTAAAAGCCAAAAATATTCTCTCGTGTGAAAAGACTTAGCTTCTTTCTGGCCTAAGAAGGCTGTTAGCAGCATGCCGGCTGTCACTCTCTGGCTTCCAGGAGGCTTGAAGTCCTTCCTGCCAGTGTTAACTAACCTCGTGTTTTGTCTATAGTTGCATGTAATGGGGCTTTGATGATTGCTTGGCCTCCCCGGCATCGCCTACAGCTGTATATATAAGGTTTGGTGTTTAAAGGGTCATGAACTGATAACCTTAATAATTACATTTGATGTTTTGGACATTTTAGATCATGAAGGAAGCCCTGATGAGGCTGGTGAAGGAGGGGCATGGTCCCGCAGCGAGGTGTTGTTGCTGATTTCACTTTATGAAAAGTACTATGCTGACTTCAACAACCGAAAGTTGAAGAAAAGAACAGTGTGGAGGAAGATCAGTGTAGAAATGAATGAAGCTGGTGCCCACAGATCGCCAGACGACTGCGAAAACAAATTCAAAGGTTTGAAGCGGACTTACACTAGAAGGCGGCAAGATAAAAGGAAGACAGGACGAGGGCGCAAGGATTGGGAATTTTATCAACATATGGACAACCTTTTCCAAGATACGGCCGAGTACACTGCCCCGGTGTGCACGAGCATGCCGGTCGTTCCTGCAGCCTCAGTCACCGAGTCCCAAGTCATCATCCCAGCCAGCACAGGGCCGTCAGCCACCACCACAGCTCTAGCCATTGCCATGCCCTCCCAAGCCGGCACTGTGTATCCGCAGAGCGCACAGACTCCAAGGTCAACGAGGCAGCCTGAGCTCCCGCAAGCAAGGAGGAAGAGGCCGGCTGCAATCCTGGGAGAAATCCTTGAAAGGATGGACGCATGGGAACAAGAAGACAGGCAGCGGTACAGGCAGCAGCTGAAGCTGCAACGTACTAAGCTCCGACTGCTGAATCGCCTTGTATGTCAATCTAAACAGTCTCAGCAGCCTTAAAGGGATGCTGAACCGAAATTTAGAGTTCGGAAAACAATGCAGAAGCTGCAGACGGGACGCTACAATCCCTACAACACTACTCGGAAGGCGATATCTCGAATCGACAGCCGTATTTTTGGAAAAAAAGTCGAGATTGAACAAGGCCGATGAGGCACGTGACGTCAAGATATCTCGTTTCCTCCTCTCTTCGTTTCGCTGCCTCAAGGCGGCGAGGCAGAGAAGACTCGAGGTCGTTTCCTTTTCTCGATTCTTCTCGGAGAAACAAGACGTCAACATACGTGTCAAATGCGCCTCCTTGTTTTTATAAAAATATGGTCATCTGTTCGAGATATCGCTGTATGAGTGATGGTTTGGTGTTTGTGGCATCCTGTTGCACGCTTCTCGCCGCTGTATTTTGTGGAATCCAGATTTCGGTTCAGCATCCGATGCTGAACCGAAATTGGATTCTACAAAACACGGCGGCAAAAGCGTGCAACAGGATGCTGCAAACACCAAACCATCACTCATACAGCGATATCTCGAACAGATGACCATATTTTTATTAAAAAAAAAGGAGGCGCATTTGACGTGTATGTTGACGTCTTGTTTCTCCGAGAAGAGGGAACAACCTCGCGTCTTCTCTGCCTCGCCGCCTTGAGGGGGTGACGCGAAGAGAGAAGGAAACGAGATATCTTCACGTAACGCGCCTTGTCGGTCGTCCATTCGAGATATCGCCTTATGAGTGGCGTTGTAGGGATTGTAGCATCCCGTCTACCGCTGCTGCATTGTTTTCTGAAATCCAAATTTCGGTTCACCACCCTTTAAAAGGTACACCGAAGGGGTTGGTGCTTACGTCATTTTATAGCTCTAATTTATTCTCTGTGCTCCAAGGATTCAAGAAATCTAGAAACTGTTGTTACACGTGCCCCACTTCAATATAAAAAATGAGATGTTCGTTAGAAATCTGACAAAAATGCTGCAGAGGGGTGAAGGGGCAAAAATGAATTAGTGAAACCAAGTGAAACACGCTTGGTTCATGCCTTGGGCCTGCGAGTCAGCTGTAGACAAGATCTTTTCATAGTCGCCGTGCCCATTTATTCATGTGACCTCGAAAGTCATTTTGCTTAGACTAAATGCTCTTCACAATGCTCCACTAGTTCTTCTTAGCTCCTCCTTTTTTCCCTCGAGCCATTCTTGTTGACAGTTTGGCTTTGAATGCGTGTAATGCAGAAGGACGCTATAAATTTCTCGATTTCTAGGATCCTTGGAGCAGATGCACGAAACCAGAGCCACAAAAAGAAAAAGTTAAAAACCTCTTTAGTCCACCTTTAAATTTCACTTGTCCACAGTGATGGTCATTTAGTGTGTCGTTCTGCGGCATGGAAAGGAAGTATAGCAAAATGCTAACCTTACTAGTCAGGCCAACTGGAACAAGCATTTTCGTACTAAACCTTAAGAGCTGCATATATTGTTTGTAACAGTTAATATTTCTTTTTACAGTTTTCTTTTGCAGAAGCATGCCAGACTTGTCTGTGTTTCGAGTTGCTGGAAAGTACAAATACAGTAGTAAACAAAAAGTAGATTCATAGTTTTTGCTACATTTTGGTTGCTGTCTGTACACTTCATTTAGTTCTTACTGGTCATTTTGCGAGTTGTTTTTTTGGAAAATAAATGAGTATTACTTTAGGCAAATATCGCCTATCAGGAAAGTCACTCCAAGTGTTTCATTTGTAGTGCTAAAAATGACCCTGTGGTTTAAGTTTATGAATAAAACTGCAGTTTTTTGCTCAAAACTATAGTTGTTTTTTTCTTGTTGCAGCCTCCGTCAGATTGCGGGCACCTTAGTTTGGGATATCAGTGCATTCTTATGTTATTAAGTACAGTTTGGCTTCTGGACAAGTGAAATTTCTAAGCTATACCAGAGTCCTGGCTATACATTCCCCCTACATGAATGATTTTCTGATCCCAGATGCCACTGCGTTCATGTTTCTCTGTTCTTGAGATCCGACCACGGGCCTGTGATTTTTTTATATTGTGACAAGTTCTAGTCAACTTTTAAGGTTTTTGAACTTAATAAATACCATTGCTTGAATCGTTTTGTGCAAAGCTGTATCACTTGTGTCTGTCTTGTTCCAGGCATTACAGTATTATTGTTATATTGGACGGTCTGAGTGACTCAGTTCCAAAAGGAAAGTCCAAGCGTACGCTCAAGATACATTATTCTGAAATAGTTACTAAGGATGGGGAGAAGTATATTGCCTGCATGTACAAATATTGCTAAAATATGTTTTAACTGGGGACAACCTACATTCAGGCACTATAATATTGATGGGCACAGGTTGCAAGCCACCAGTTCATTTGTGCCAATTTTTTTATTTTGTCTGCATTTGGTGGTATTTTAATTCGCAAAACTTTTGCAAAAGAACTTGTGGAGTAACAATGTGAATATGTAGCTCTAATAAATCGTAATAAGGGCATAAAAGACAGGAAAAAGCAGGAGGGGGAAACATTGGTAAAACTCTCCAAAAAGTATACTCGAGCAACAAAAAATGTGTTCTAGTCAATTGCCTTATTATTGACCGATTTTATCAATTTAGTTTTGCTAAAGGTTGAGAACCGAGGAGCTGAAGACATACAGTGGTCTGTAACATGGCAACCTCATTCTTCAGGTGCATGCAGGGTGCAGCAAGCTAGCGATTGCGTCGCGTTTAGCTTTTGCAGCGGAAGGCGCTCTTGTCATGTCTGGTTGTTTGCGCACCAGGCATGGATCCTCTAGTTCCTCCGTGCAAAGAACAAAGGGCTTTGCAGACGTGAGAATGACATTATGAAGAACGCACGCCGCCATCACAAACATGGGAACCATGTTAAGGTTGTCCATGTCCAGGTGTTTCAGACGTCGAAACTTTCCTTTCAATTGGGCAAAGGCCCGCTCTATCACTGACCGCGAGGCACCTAATGTTGTGTTGAATTTACTTTGTCTCCTCGTTAGATGCCCATTGTCCTTGTAAGGACGCATCAGGTTCACCCCGAGGGGATAAGCGGAGTCGCCGAGGATGTGGAGGTCCTCGGGAAGGGCGCTAAGAATGTCGTCTAAGCCAGAATTGGTGAGGATGCGTGCATCGTTCATCCGGCCCGGGGACCCCACATGCACGTGTGTAAACACCATCCTGCTGTCGCAGCAGCCTTGGAGCACAACGGAGTGGAACTCCTTCCTGTTGTAGAAGGCAGACTGCTCTTCTTTGGGAGCCTTGATAGAAACATGGCACCCGTCCACGGCACCCACAACGCCTGGGAGCCTCCACTTCCGTTCGAACTGGCTGGCCACCTGGGCAAGCTGCGTGGGCCACTGTATTACAGAGGGTGCACACCGTGCCCATACCAACACAATCTCGTAGACCACGAAGTGGAGGGTGCTCTTGTGTACACCAAACCTGTCGGCGACGCCACGGTACGATTCCTGATTTCCTAAGAGCCACAACGTCATGAGGACCTTGGTGGCTGTTGGCACCCGGACTCCAATGGTCTTGGCTAGGTTAGGTTCAGTTAATTGGAGCAAGACCTGGAATGTGTGGAACCGAACATTTAATCAATGAAAACAAGAAATACAATGATGTGATTGGCTCGAGCCATTTTGGAGCAGCAGAAAGAACTTTTAAAGCAGGCATACACCTATACCCTATTTTCATTGATTCTACTCTGACGAGGAGAGAGAGTGCTAGCATTATTGAAGCTAGCACTCAATAGTGTGAATTGCAGGGCAGATAATCTAATTGCCCAGAACACGCAATTGGCTCTTTAGTTTGGGTTAGTAGCACAGTCACGCGACAAAAATGTTGTCACGAACTATCTTTTGTTTAGAAATTCCAGCCACTGTTTTTATTACCAGTAGATTTACACAAAACGCAAAATCGCCATGTGAGAAGATAAATATTTATTGTAAAAGGAAACAAGGGTTACAGGGCTCAACTTATAAAGATGAATTCCCCAGCTTGCACTCAAACACTGCTAACGCTTGCTTGGCTTTACGCTTAATAGCCACAAAGAAAATATTTTTCTTTTAGCTCACTAGGGACGAGCGCGTGCGCTATCTCGCCCTGAGGGAGTGTTTTTCCCTCAAGTACGCAGCTGCGCTACGGCGAAGCACCCTTCAAAGATGGGCTTGTGTCACTCCTTGTCTCGTTTGGTTATTTTTTCTACGTGATATATCGTGACTCTTCATCGCTATGATATTTTAATATTTCAACACAAGCCCATCACGCCTTAAACATTATTAAAATTTTCCCCTGAGTGGCCAGACAGAAATCCAGACCTCCCGCGCTGTATTTTTGTACTATATTCCGAACATATGCTTGTGGGGTTACCTCGAACGTCGAACGGTGCATCCTGAAATGCTCCTTGAATTGGGTATCTGTGTAGCGAGGGACAACATCGGAGATAAATCCCTCAATCCCCCGGATACGGTCGGAGTCCGACGGTCTAGCGGGATCTGCGGAGTGTGTAGAGAGACACTGTCACGATTATGTCGGCCATCATCACGCATGCTTACCTTCACAAATGACTTCTTTGAGGGCTCCAAGCACCTCGGTGACTCTTCGTCGCTTGGTTCGCCTCTGCGCCTCCATGAATTCTTCAAAATCATCCTCCAAAACAACTTGGAGAAGCGCGTTGGCGGCGTTGTCGTCTGCTGCCATAGCGCGCGCTTTTTTTTTCTTTTTTTTTTCTTGGGCAGGATGTTCGCGCGCGAATTTGACGGAAACGGAAATGCGCAAACACTCGGCCGCGCGGCGGCGCAAGCGGCGCCCTTATTTCCCGTCTAGTAGGCGCTCTGAGGGCTCTGACTCGAGTTACTCTGTCCGGAGACGAAGGAGCCGCTACTGAACGCGCCCATTGCGAGCAACACCTTTCATCAAAGACCACGCCGCCCGAAAACGGCTCCCTTCTTTTTTTTTTTCTTTTTTTTTAATTCTTTTTGTTACTTTATTTTGTTGTTGGGTCCGACTGTTCTCTTCTTTGTAACGATGCCGACCGTGGCAACCGTTCTGGTCATACGATTGGCGTTTCTTTCGTCACGCGATGACATGGCC